CATATTAATCATTTAGGTTAATGATTTAGTCTTATCCATCAGAAAGAGAAAGGGTATCAAAGTCTAATTGCCAGACCTTAATGAATATTTGGACAAACTCTGATCTAAATATTGTATTTTAACATAACACAAATATTCAATTATAAAATATTGTAAAATCTTTAAGAGGAATCTTAAAAATAAATATTCATTATTGATCTAAGGTCCCGAAATATCTGTCTCCAAAGTCTCCTACTCCTGGGAACCGTAGATCTTGTATAGTATTTAATGCATGATCCACTCCTGCAGTAATTACTTTCACCTTAGGAAATTGATGAAGCACTTTTGAGAGACCTTTTTCACATGAAACTATATTCACTGCAGTGATGTTATCTTGACTTACACCATGAGATATTAATGCTTTTATAGCCGTAGTTATTCTACCTCCAGTAGTTATCATAGCATCTGTGAGAATTACCTAATTTAGTTTTATATCTGTACTTATTTTTGATCTACGTCTTCTGGCAATTTACAATAGATTAATTGCGGATCCTTGGTCTAAGGATGTTCTTAAACTAGGATGAATCCAACTGATGTGCCTGGTAGCACTTTTAGGGCCTCTCCCAAAAATGCATTTCCAGATCTTATCATCACTACCACGCAAAATTAGTTCTACTCAAAGCTTATCGCTTAGGCTTACTATTGTAAGGCCTGACACCCTTCTTGAGGGGACATTTTTTTTAAGTGCTCTGACACTGCCTTTTCCAATAGCAATCTAATCAATCGATCAGAATATAAGCGAAAATTCTAAAATTTTACTAATGATGCTACTTTGGTTTGTGTTGTTTTATTGCGAATAACGCTGAGGATATGCTCGACTTGGAATTTATCTAGCACGTACAAACTGGGGAACCTCAGACGAAATTGTTATAATTCTGTATGGGAAATGAATGAAAAGTAGGGAGCAGCACATTAAAATCGATTATATTATTATTAGGCTACAAAGCTGAGGCCGATCAGTCCAATCAATCCTGCCTTAACTAATTTTGAGTTCATCAAGTTCATCTTTTTGAATTTTATTTTTATAATAATTACTACTCTTGAATCTTTAGAAAATACATTTAACTAATAGAAATACTTAAATTAACAGCAAATTAGAACTTTATTATTATTTTAATATATTAAAAATAAATATGGTTAATTTTAGATAAATCATGCAAATAGTCCTACGCAAATTTAATGATAAATTGAATGTTTCAGCCTCTGCTGCTATGCTAATTGCTTGTTTTTGCCTTTACAAGGCCAAAGCCAAACCCACTTTGCCACTTGTGAAAATTAGCAATTTTATGTTAGTATTACAAAAGAAATTAGTCGAAGAAGTCATTTATGATGGATCTCACATTTTATTTAGATGCGTTAATCAAGCCCAATGGTTATCAACATAGGCTGATCCCATGATCAAGGGAAAAGAATTGCTAAAGGCATTAATGTAAGAATCTCATTTATGCATTTAAGGGAATATGGTGTTCCAAGATTCTAAAATTGCACTTAAATCTATTATACTGAAAGATAAATGTTGTATCTAATAACCAGCATTGCAGCATTCTCATACACGTTTGGCATAATCGCATCCCATATCATCAATTCATAAAAGCTTTCAAATAAATCCATGATTGCCTAGTCGACAGGTGTCAAATTCGTCAATATTTATGGATTAGATCATGCAAAAAAATAACTCTCATAAATCATAGAATACTTATAAGACCCACAAAAATTCAGAAATGTAGGTGCTAGATTGAGGAGAGGAGTCATGATTTATGGTCCTCCAGGAACAGGAAAAACTATGCTTGCCAAGGCTACAGCAACAGAAAGCAATGTGTAGTTTTTATATTGCTCAGCAACAGAATTCATGGAGGTCTATGTAGGCACTGGTCCAAAGAGAGTAAGAGAATTGTTCAAAAAAGCAAGAGAATTGGCCCCGGCCATTATTTTTATTGATGAAATTGATAGTATTGCATATAAAAGGAAAAATTAAAACTTTGGTTCTGAAACTGGCGGGGATAATGAAAGAGTAAGTACTTTAAATTAATTGCTTACAGAGTTAGATGGTTTTAAAGAGAATGAAAATATTGTTGTTATTGCAGCAACCAACAGAATTTAGATATTGGATGAGGCTCTTCTAAGAAGTGGTAGATTTGATATAAAAATAGAGATCTAGATGCCATCAGAGCATGATAGGAAAGGAATTCTTGGGGTTCATTTATAAAATGTAAATATTTTTTATGATTTTACAAGAAAAAACATTAAATATCATCTGGAATGATTGAATTAGTAGCCAAAAATGCAAATGGTTTCTCAGGAGCTGATATGGAAAATATTACAAACGAAAGTGCATACATTGCCATTGAAAAACAATAGGAATTCATTATTGATGCAGACTTTTAGGAAGCCTTCAAAAAGGTTACCTAAGAGAAACAGAACTTGAGGGATATATGATGATTACATTTTTATCTGTTTAGAAAATATATATTAATTATTCATAAGTATCTTTCGATCAATGTCTGGATGTTATCTGGAACTTGATATGTTGTTCTGAAGAACTCTTTGAAATGACAACCTAAATCTGACTAAAACTATTATTTCAATATATCCAATGTATTGATTTAGACTACATGATTCAATTATTATTGCATTAAGATTAAGAAAATATTCTAAAACCATATTCCTTCTTTTATGTTTCTCTTCAGTAATTCACTCTTACTGCTGCACATCCAGTAGACAATTCTTTGTAAATTTTAGACTCCCTAGAATAAAGAATGTTGTTTACTTCATTAGTGAAATCCTTAATCGATTAAGCAGATATGACAAGGGCCAATCCAGAAGTAATGACTTTTTCGAACAATTCAAATTTAAGCTTAGGGTATATATGATAATAAATACACAGCAAAGACTAAGGATGCAATCTATGACTTCATTTAAGAAGTATTGTTTATCATCTGTTTATTATAATACCTGAGTAAACAAATAGAAGATATTAGCTTGGATGTATTTTAATTGGTACTCCTCCTGACACAGAGTCTTTCTCAAGAGTTGAAAGGCATTTTTCTTTGAAATGTTTTTGAGTATGGTTGAAAATATCAAGTTGTCATAAGGAACGAATTTCAATTAGGACAGGATGACCCAAACAGATTAGTTATCAATGTGTTTGAGTAGAAGTTCAAATAATTTCTTATTGAGTTAAAAGAACTCTTAGAACAGGACTGCCTCAAACCACAAAGGACTATTTTAATATAGTTTGATAAGGAAATGTTGAGCGTGTCTGTGTCTCTCCTTTTTCAATAGTTCCAGAGTTTTGGAGTGATATTCACTCATAACTGATTGCTCCTAAGGAAAGAGGGAGATATTGATGGAATCAAAGGATAAAGTTAGAAGGTAAAACTCTAATTGATTATTGGATGACAATTGAGCCACTAATTGGTTCAGAACATTTGTAAAGGAGCTAACACAGAATTGTTCAGGGACATCTGTGAGATTCTCAAGTTTGGATTCCAAATTGACCATGATTTCCAGAGCGGCGGTCACTTCATTCAAATAAAAGTGATCATTGACTTATTCAACCGATTTGTTGAATACTAAGGCAAGTTCCTTAAAATATAATACAAACACACCTCTTTTCTGAGTTCCTATTATTTTAGATACAACTATTCATATTAATAGATGTATTGTTGTCTTTTTTGTAACAATTTACTTTGGATGTCTTCTTTCCTCTGGGAATTCCTTACTTGCTCCCTTTTCAATTGAATCAACTCTGTTGAAATGTTAGAGGGAAAATCTGCATTTGAATTCAAATCCATTATTATTATTAAAAATTATTAATAAATTAAACCATTAAATTATTCAATTGTTCATACTTTTCTTTTGATCAAATCTTTGCCAGTGCCTCTGAGAATGAAATCCACACTAGGGCCATCCTAAACTTTAATTCTATACTTTGACTTATACAACAATTCAGCAGTAGGCTTGAAAATATCAGATATCAATTACCTTGAATCTAATGAGAATCTTAAACGGCTATACACCCAATTCTCTTATGTCGTCAATGGTTATCTGAAATGGCAAACAAGTAGCGTGAGGTAAAGTATGTACCATAGTGGATGGCCCATCTAACTTACCTTCAGTAATTTGAAATTCAAACACAGATGGGTCATCAGTTTTCTTCATTTCTTCCTTGTCCTCCAAAGTCATTGTTCTTTCAACTATATTTTTCCGTAATGGATTTTTTTAATGTTGCAATTTCCATTAAGCAGGCACTAAAGATAAATTGGACAAGTAAATAGCAATAGTTTTGTCCTCTTGTACCTCTCCAAAATCCAAAACTTCAGGCCCTTCCACTTAATCAATCCCTGAAGTGTTTAAGTGAACAAAAGGTCTCAAGAGAACTCCCTCCAATTAAATTGATTGCTTATCCCCATTTGCAAAAAAGATGTTAATTGACCCATGATGATAAACCTTATAAGTAAGAGGCCAATTTACTGGATCATTAGGTTAATAACCCTCAAATTAGACAAGCAATTCCACATGTGAATCTGTTACCAAATTGAATGTTTTTGCAATCTCAGTTTTCATACCTAATTCATACTTTTAAGGAGAATTGGTTGAAGTTTGAATTAATTTAAATGGTCCTTCAATTTCAAAAGTGCATACAAAACTTGATTTTTTTCTATTAACTAAAACCAGTTTCTTCTCCTATTTTATATTATAGCCACTTGACCACTTCTAAAATTTCACCTAAAACCCTCCTTCCAACTTTTCAAGCTTGTCAAATGTCAAGTAAGGAGTAATAGTCTCGCTTTTCACATAGAAAGCCACCTATCCAATAGTCTTATCTTAATTAATAAGTCTTGGCCTTGCAACCAAACAAGCACTATAATTCCCAGTATCTTGAGTAGTGAAATGTAAAGTGAAATGCTTCTCCTTTCTTTATTTGATTCTCTCCTTATTTGGTACTACTTAGAATGGGCCATCCTTTGATTCTTGAGGTTCATTTGCTATAAATTAGACATCGCATAATTAATCTGATCCCAATTAAGGATCTGTTATTTTAATATCAAAGTAATCAGAAGTAGTACTAGTTCCAAGATTGTAAATTTTCCATTCCAATTCAACATCCTGAGGACCTGTATTCATTACTCTAAAATCTCTACTGATTGTTCCAAAGTTCCTCATATAAGTACCTAAATCAAAGGTGGGAAAATCAGTCTTGTAATTGAATCCCAGCTGACTGGGACTAATAACAATGGGAGATCCTTTGATGTCAATTGCTATTGGAAACTCCTTTGTTGGAAGTCCTCGAATGTCACAACACATTAAATCTTCAAATAATCCACAAATATCATTGAATACTGTCACCTAAACAACAACAGATCCATAAGCATTTAAGGTACCAGATGATGGTTCAAATACCACTGCAATACCAAGATTATTAGAGAGATAGACCCTTTAATCATGTTCCATCTTCTTTTATTTGTTCAATCTTAAACCAGCTTCAGAAGTGAAATTGTGTGTTTTCTCAATCTTATTTGTTAATAATACTACAGGTCTACCTCCTTAGGAAATCTTTCCTTTTTTGGATACAGATTTAGAAATTGAGGACTCAGCAAATTTAATTGTTCTTGCTGCTTATGATTTAGCATCAAAATCATCAAAAATAGTTGATTACTCTTCCAGGGCATGTGGTTGATATTTTTTCATATACAAATTAAATTAAGTATGAATACCTGATGTATTCTTAATTAAAAACTTAGCTTGTTTTGGTTGGTTAATAGTACAATTGTAAAATTCCAATTTATCCATTTATTAATTTTTAATTTCAGTGTCTGCCTTCAAAAGCGATTTCCTAGAATCCTTGAGACTTTTTTATTTTGAACTCGCAGATGTTTTAGAAGAGATATGTGCACTATCATCGACTAATTCGTATTCCACAGATAAACCATAGATCATAGTATTCATTTCAAATCCTAATGGATATTGTAGTCCTTGCACTTCACAAACAAAGAGTTCATTTAATTTCCCTCCTTCCTTAGGTTTTATGGAGAATTTAATGATTTAATTGGTTTTTGGCTTTAGAACTCCTTTTTTGGGTTCAAATTAAACCAAATATTTCTCCTACTTCTCATTATCAACCACCCATTCAAAAGGTGTACTGATATTACCCAAATTCTAAAGCATTATGTATTATTATGCTCTTTGATCAAAAGTGTAGGTATTTCCACAATAGAGTGTATCAATATTGAGAGATAATCTATTTAATGAGACACTTGGATTTTGAACTTCTGCGAATACATCTAAGACAGCACAATCACCATTTTCAACCTAAAAATATAGGAAATCATTATAGGTTTCAGCCTCTCTAGATTGAAACTCAACCTTAAATTGAATTGAACTATTGGGTTTGATCTCGAATTAGTCTTTATTAAATAATAGCCTTTAATCCGAACCAGATTACGCCTTAATCAAAGCAGGAACTGGTGACAAATTATTGATAGTTAATTCCTAAGATTCTAAAGAGTATGTTTAAATCAATCCATAGTTCAGCCAACTTTATTTTACTGATATGAATGGAGCTATGACATCAGCAAAGACTGTAATTAGAATAGAATTAGCATAATCAAAGTCTAATCTGTACTCTAATTTCATATGGCCAACTTCAGAACTTTGAACACCTAAGACAATCTCGGCTTCACTATTGATGACTCCTTGTTTTTCTTGAATATAGAAATAATCCAATTGAAGTGGGTTAATTGAATATTTCATTTAAGTTTTTGATGTCGTTGACAATTTAAATCTATACTAGGCAAGGGTATTCACACAAATTGGAACAGGAAATTTGTAGAATTGAGGTGTAACACTCACTTCTCCAAGTGCAGACTTACTAATTAATTCAAATTCAAAGTATGTGATTGATGGTTTAATGCTATTAGAACCAATAGCCACAGATTATGAATTAGTTTCGAATTGTTGTCTTAAATTAGGAGGAGGATTCCTAATACTTTCAAATGGTATATCATCAATAATTAAATATGCTGTTTAAAATAGCGGATAATATTCTTCACTCTTTAAAAATATCTTAAAATCTATAACTTCATTCGGTTAAAAATATCCGTCTTAAGGTTGAATGGAATAATAGTTCAATTCATCTTCTAATTTTAGTTCCTTATCATCATTTTGTAAATACCAATGATATTTAACTTTAACTGATGTTTTATTTCTTATCTTTAATTGTCTACTAGTCTCTATTTTAGGGATGGGATCGTTAAAGAATATTTTGTGTAGTTGCTCTTAATTTTCTAAATTAATGTTATCTATTCCTAAGATCCCTAATTCTACCATGTTGCCTCTGCCAATCAATTTTAAAGTGGCCTAAGTCAAATTGTCACAACCCAAAATGATGTTTTCAATGACTTCGCCTTCAACATCTGGTTTAAATATGGCTTAGATGACTTGTGTTTCTCCTTTATGCAAGAAGAATTCAGCAGGTGATAAATAGAAATTGCCAACCTATATGTAATTCTCTTCATCTTGTTAATCTTATTGATTATTTATAAAAAAACGATAGCCTGCTTCTCCTCCAGAATTTTTAACTACAAATCTTGTTTCTACTTAATCACCTATCCAACAACTTTGACAATCCAATTATGATGGCAAGTCTAATTGTGGTGGTTCCTTTCTGGCTAATAATGGAACTTTTAAAATATGATCTTCTGTTATTACGGCTAATGTATCATCAAACTCTGCCAATGAGGATGGATTAAATCTGACCTTTAATACTGCACTCATCCCTGGAGCTATAAATCCATCCTCTTTTGTTGGATATTTGATTGCTGCTATCTGAAACTCCTTTCTAAAATAAAGTTAAATCACTCACTTTTCAGGGGGTAACACTTTGATTCTCTGCAATATTCCAGTTGCATTGGTAACATACAAATCTATTTCGTACATGCCATTCAACATGTACTCTCTAAATATCAATTATTTTGGGAAAACCCGAAAAGATGTTATTTGATCTTTCTCTACTACAATGTCCTAATTTAAATTCAAACCGAACTTACTTGCTTTGTATTGATGTATGAAAATAGTACCGGCGCTTTGTTAATTTTGAATCGAGGATTCTTGAGATAATTTACTCTCTTATTCATGTTCTTAATAATCTGATTATTGATTTCTTTATCCTTCTCATTCATTTCCAATAAAAAACTGCTCTTGCTCTTCTTCTAAGTCACCGGTTTCAACTATGTTGTTTCTTTCATTTAGAACGTATTTAATATTATAATATAAATATATAACTTAATATATAATATTTTTACATTCAAGGTACCATTATTATGTTTGCCTTTGCCTTTTTCAACAATTCATCAGCTGTTGAACCAAAAAATGTCTTGTTCTCCAATTGAGCTCTATACCCATTAGATCCAAATACAACGAAGTCGAGATCATCAGAATTGTTTATCATTTCAATCACATTCTCTATGGCTCTATAGGATGAATCCAATTGTTTATATTGCCATTTTCTTTGATATTTAGTCATAAACTCTTCCACCTTTGTTTTAATAGTAGTTCCAAATGCCTCTCTATCAGGAGTGGGAGCAAAACATATCAATAAACTATCACGTTCATCGAAGGACAAGGCCACTGCACTTTCCAATGATTTATAAGATTTCTTGGATCCATCTATGCATACCACGAATTTAAATCCATTGGTTTCATCTCTTTTATAGAGTTTTTTAACAGCAATCAATGGCACTTTACTATTGTACACTGAATTTCTCACTGTCTATCCTAAAAGTGTGACATCCTATTTGAGTCCCTTTCTCCCATTGAATCCGACTATCAAATAACCGACATTCAAATCTCCTGCAATTGTCAAAATTTAATTTCTAATGTTCTCTTGTCCTTATGCTTTCTCCTAAAACACCAATTAGTAATTTGCTTCTGGATACTAATGAATAATCAAATAGGAGAATAAATTACCCTTGATAACAATTCAATTTTATAATCTTCATAAATTGTTGTGCTTTAGAATTCAAATGGCAAGTATGTTTTTTATTGATCTGAAACATGTGCTACAATTATTTGATTGAAAATGTTCTTGTATTCAAAGAACTCCACAGCTTACTTATGATTTTAATAAAATAAGGTACAAAGAATGCTTGTTTTGAGGCTTATGAGCCATCGGTTGCAACCATTATATTTGACTTGTTTAATTCCATAAAATTAATTAAATAAATATTATATATTAAACATTTAAATAATTCCAATTATCATAGATCAGTTGGTTAAACTTTGCTATCAGGAAGAACATCCACATTAAACAATAGATCAGGAGGTTTTGCATCCATTAGACTATCTCCTCTCAATCTTGAATAGCTTTGATCCGTTAAATAGTCACCGAACCAAAAGGAGTTAAATTCTGCTCTCCTAAGAGAATTTAGAGTTAAAGTTCCCAATAAAATAGGATATGTAAATATGGTTTCAGGTATCGAATGCTTCACAGACACTGTGGCTAATACCCAAAGCCCTTCTGCAATTATCAAAGACAAGAAACCCTGCAGACCGTAAGTGAAGGTCCTCTTAGTCTTATCTATCCTATAGGCTAAGCTCAAAAGGAGTCCTGGTATAGCTTAACTAAACAGTGAGATCCAAGCACAATTTTTGTTAAATTGCAAACGTATTAAGGGCAGTTGCAATTCTAAAGGGCAATTCAAAAATTGTAATACAGTTGTGTTGTAAGACTGAACTTAGGTATAATGGATGATTAAGGCCAATATCGAATCCAATAAAACATTAGATATCATTAAGAATGAGGCAAACTTAATGTTCTTGAGTCTGAAGAACTTGACAATCAGTACTATAAAGGCTAGAGAAATGATATCACTCAAGTACCATGGCTTAAAAAAATAATAAGGCAAGGCAATTAATAAAGAAATTATTGATGAAAACACAATGTAATATTTTCTTACAAATGAATTCTATTTCAATAGACATGCAAACTAGGGTAATTATATCTTTTAAATACCTCAGAAGACACAAAGAATATTGCAAGTGTGCCTATTGTGCAGGCTATTATAATGAAAAAGTATCTGACGAAATCCAAAAATTCTGTCGCTAAAACTATCGTGGCTCCACCGGCATATAATATTATATAGATTCCAATAATCATGAAATTGATTTCGAATCCCTGAAAGTCCTTTCCATTTCTCTTCCAACTAAATGACAGGATTCTAGTGTATTTAGCCAAAAATGCGATCAAAATAGTTGATATTACTAGTAATATGGGGAGACTCCAATCGAATGTGATGTCTCTGTATGATTTGTCGCATGAGAATATTATTGCAAACTTTATTAATTCATGAGTTCCTTAATTCACTTCATTCAAACTCACTTGTATACTTATTGGTGTCCAATAATTTTAAGAGGTGAGATGATCTCTTTGGGGACATTGCTATGAGAGTCTAAAAAGGATCTCGCTTTTGGGCTTAAGCTTATTGTCATCTGAAATCACTTCGGTTTACAGGTTTCTCTTTATAATTACATATTTATACATGTTAGTATTTTTCTCATCCTCTTGCAGAACATAGACATTGAATGATATAATATCTTCATTTTCTATTCTTAGAGTTTAATTTGAAATTCCAATTCCATCGTTTGTACTCAATATACCAAAAGATCTTGGTGGCTTGCATGTCACTCCTTGATTTAAATTCTCGGGGAGGAATTCAAATGAAACCTTGTTCTTATCATAAACTAAATATTCATCATCTGCATCTTCCATAAAAATCCGCACTTTTTATCCCAAAATTAATAGGGGTACAAAAAACAATAAAATTTACATTTATTAATATAATAATAAATTTTCTTCACTTTCTTCATCCTTACATTATTCCATATATCCGATTTTACATAAATTTTTAACATCAAATATTAATAAATTAAATTTCCAAAACCAATGCCAAACAAACAGATGATACTCATAACATCCCTTCTTAGTTTAAACACATATAGAATTTAATATAATTACTTTGGTATCATTTATCAATAATTAAAGATGACTAACGATCACTTTAAATTATTAAAATTTTTAACATTCAAAAATGAGCAATCATCCTGCATCAACAAAACCTCCCTAAAAAACAGCACCAGCACCATAACAACCTATTCCCTATTCACCACCGAGAACATATGCACCACCAGTGGCATTTGCTAGTCCTTCATATCTACCAATCTAATAATCTTTTGTAGGTGCCCCTGTTTAATATGTTCCTCAACCAGTTGCTGTTTAGCCAGTTGCTGTTTAGCCAGTTGCTGTTTAACCAGTTGCTGTTCAACCAGCCTAACAGGTCATTAAAGGAGAAAGCAGAATTGAGTATCAATCTAAATTCAATAATTTTAGGTATATTCCATATGAAAAATCAGTCATCGAATACGAAGAGGTCAGATAAAGAATCTAAGTCCCAAGAGAGAAATATGTAACAGAATACTAAGCTGTTGAATATTAGACTGAATACATCCCATAAGTATTTTATGATAAAGTTACAGGTATTTAATTAATTAAAATCGTTAGAGTACGTTCCTGTTGATAGGTTTTAAGACAGAGTAGAATACTATCCTGTTGAAAGATAAGTTGTTCATCAACAAGTTCAATAAGTAGTAGCATAACCAGTCGTTTAATCTGTGGTTCAATAAGTTCCTCAATATGTTGCTCCCGTGTAGCCAGTTGTTTAACCAGTTTACTAACAACCTTAGATTTCATATGCTCCTTACGTCTAACCCAATTTCGCACCCTCGAGAATTGCTCCTCTATCATATGCTCCTCCCTTGTCCTACGGTCCTCCAGTGTCACATCCAAGAAGATATGTAAATCATATTCTAAATACTCAGTCCCCTCCAGGCAAACCATAGCCAGCCTAAAAGCCTTAGCCAAAAAAAGAAAAAAAATCATTTTTAGACAACATCTTTAGTTGATATTTAAATAATGTCCATAACATATTTATACTAACCAAAACAACATATTATTTCATTATATCTCTAGAATCCATTATTTAATATCGAGAATTATATTTATGTTTTAGTTTAGATACGCCATAAAGGCCATCGCTACTTCTATTTTGGCGACCCCTGAGAGCAAGCTTAGAGATTCACTCATTATTTAACTACATTTACTAATGCTAAACTTTGCATTAATAAAAAATAAATAAATTAAATTGTTTTAATATGTGAGATTTAATAATCACTAACATTTATCATAGGTGTTTCTCTTCAAAATTCTTCAGATTATAAAATCATATGATATGGAAGTAGTAAATTCCCAAATATTTTATTTGGCAATAATCCTTAATTATTTCCAATAATCAAATACTAAATATAGCTATTTACATGCAAATAAATTATATAAATTCAATGTTTATATATTTATAATAGATATTTGCATTAAAGAATTTTCATTCTCTTAATATATACAAGATCAAACAAATGATATTGTTTGTTATTTCTAGTACTGTAATTTCTTCCTTCATTCTGTTACTAGTAGTCCTTTTTATAGGGTTATCAGAGAAATCGTATTTAGGCAACATCGTTTAGGTAAAGAGCGATTTTAGCTTAAAAAAGAGTCTTATCCGTATTGACTGGTTTTGTTTAATAATAAATAAATTGTAGTTAAAAATACTAAAAATAATTCATAGTTTGAAATCCTCTAAGGAAGAAGGTAAATAGCAAGAGAATTCTTCAGAAATATTTGAATCTTAACTCAAATTTTCACATTCTTAAATGATAAACGAAGAGTCTTTATTAAGGTGTTTAAGCTCTTTTCTGAGGCTATCAAAATTTTCCTTTCTGGCCGGATAAATGATGATAAATCTTAAGGGTTAGTCTTTTGTATAGGCTCTAGACGCGTTTTCTATTTATAAATAATTTTCTTGGGATGTAACCTAGCTATCATTTCTTGGTGATAACTCGTTTCTTCTAGTTATTTCTGAATTAGATATTGAGAGCATTGATTTGCAGGAACATGTCTAACCCATTAATAATTTTATTTATATTAATATTTCTAAATATTTTCTTCTAAAAAGCCACAATAAATCCTTAATTTTATTTAATTAGTATTTACTTCGATATTAAATTAACGCAACCATAATTCTAAATATAGTTTTCCTAGATTTTATGAATTCTTTATATAAACTCCCTCAGAATCTAAAATGATTAGATTAGTTAATAACGACACCCAAAATTCAAAATTCTTAAGTTAAAGATTCCACACACCAAAGATTTACCAACCCTAAATTTAAATAAAAATACCAGAATTTTAATTAATAATAGTACAATATATAAGAAAGAATGAAAAAGTTATAATTGATTAAAACACTTTATATTAGAAAGAATATAATTAAATAAAATAATTATAAGTAAATTTAGTCTAGAAAGAAAGATACTCATAAACTATATTAAAGTTTCAGATTAGATTAACAAAATTACATACATTAAGTGTTTTACAGTTATAGATCTTGTTTCAAATTAATGGTTAATAATAATAGTAACAATTGAAATTGTGGTTAATTCATTATTTTTGCCAATAAAATATAAAAATAAAAATGAATTTATACATCACAAATAATTTAAATAACTATTGAACATTCATTTTATATGAAGATAAATGATTATTTAACAGAAAAACAATCATAATACATATTCAATAGAAATAATTAACAGAATAATCCCCTAATTAATTATTTAAATTGTCTTGGTGATTAAAATGAAACCATGATTAGAAACTATAATTATGGTCTTCTAGTATATCAATTATTCTTATGATCTCAAAATTTCAATTTATACTCCACCTGTTCTCATTTGCAATAATTACAATAAATAGATATCGGTTATCAAATTTCATTAACCTAAAATTTACAAAAATTATTATGAATACGTTTTACTGTGTAAACTAAGTGAGGATTGATGCGAAAATACATATTTAACAGAGGATAATTCTGAAAGACAATTAAGAAATTTAATTAAAAATATTCCAAATTCATACTTTGCTAATAAAAGGAAAATCGATCATCATCTGTTATCATTATCAGAGAATGACTGATTTAATTTACAAATTTGAATTTGAGATCTTTGAAGATAGTAGCCTTGTTCAAAACCTCAGGCAGAAAATGAACTTTCTTTTGATAAATAAAATAAATTATTATTATAGCTAATTTATTAACATACCATAAACTTAATGGGCTGCAACGCATAAAAAATAAAGACTAAAACAAGGGATTAACAGATAGAAACCAATCCAAATATTAAATGCTAGAATCAATAAAGCAAAATATTAGAAACTGAGCAAAAGGTGGATAGACTAAATAGTGAAATACAATGTCCCCACTCTCCTTAGATCGGAAGGAAGCTGAAACATATGGCAAGCAGTGACGAACTTCAAAAGTATCTTACTAAAAGGTAGAGCAATACTTAAAGTCCATTTAAGTATATTAAGAACTCTCCAGAACAAAGGAGAAAGCTATCATTGATGAACAGCCCTTAATTGTGATTTAATGATTATTATTCTTTGTATTAGATCACATTTCAACTTTCTTATAAAATTAGAATGATTTACTCAATTTTTATTGATTCTTAATTAAAGTGACATAATATACATATATAATCATTACAAAGATCTTCTTTAGAGTGGTTGAGAAACCGAATCTATTTAAAAAAGAGTGGTAGACTTTGACATATCAACTATTTGGTCTGCGATTCTTGAGCTTCCTAAATTGTTAGATCAAAATATACGTGTAGATGTTATTATAGTATTAGGTGATGATGTAGTCGTTCTTTTGTGATGTCCCAATTGTTGTTTGAGATGTTTCTCGATATTTTACTATATGTCTGTTAACTAGTGCTGATTCCTTGCAATTTTTCTTTGAGGTTTCAATTAAGGCTCATTGATAGAAAGATTTGAAGGAGTACAACCCATTTAGAAAATATTAAATCAAATAAATAATACTTCATTTATACTCATTAAAACAAACATATGAATATATATTTATACTTATTTTCGGCTTTTATGTCTTAATGCTTCATTTTTTTGAAATTTAATTTATTCATCGAGTATTTTACCATTTTCGAAATTTGACTAATTGTTATTTCAATATGGCCTGTTAATTATATTTATAATTAATAAATAAAATGTTTTAATCATGAGGGACATTTTTAATTATATTTTTTTTATTTGATTATTAAGAAGAAATTGAGGGAGAGATATTAAAAATTATTTAATTAGTAACATTTCAAACTGCCTCACTATAGTTTTGAACTCAATTAATTATTATTAATTTTCAATTCAATGAATAGTACGATGTTATTTTTAAAAGAGTAATATCATGATTTGTATTATTAATTTATGAGGTATTATTAAAATACTGAAGAATGTTGAAAATTTCATTCCTAAGCAGCATTATTAATATTATTTTGTATTCATATTTAGGAATGGGCTGTGTGGGTTAAAAATAGAATCGAAATCAATAACAAAATAAATTTCCATTACATCGGCAATCAATCTCAGTTTCACATTCAAATCGAAAATTTTGTATTGAGTCGCCATTTTCGACTGATCCTAAACAATAAATTTAGCTATATAGATCCATCGACATCACAAAGGATGAGGAATTTATTTTAAAGAGTGATAAGAAGTTCATCTCGAAAAATCAAGACTCTCCAACCACAACTCCAAAGTTTAATCAAAATCTTCAATTTGCCTTAGGAAATCGTAAAAATAAAATTGTTCTGTGAAAAAATTAGGAAATACTCAGTAAATTTATTGATAATTTATATTTTTTATATGTTGTTTAATATATATTTTTACTAATAAACTAAATAGAATGCTCATATTACTAATTATTAAGAAAACCTAAAAAAGGATGGCACTTCTAATAAGAGTCAATATAATTACAAATATGTCTGATTTATTGAACCTAAGATCCGTATAAAATCAAGGTGCATTCACTTAATTCAAAGATTGACTCCAAATACTCAAAGAAATCTTAATTGAATGATTCAATTTTTATAAGTAAGATAGCCTGCTGTGATTATTATTTGAGCAATTCATTTTATAATTAACTCATTTTCTTATTTAAATAAACGGAGTCAATGTTCAATGCTGAATAGTGATCAAAATTAATATGCAAATAAGGTTTTTGATTATTCTCCAATTATTACTGTAAACTCAATGGCAGAGTATTATTTGTAAAATAAATTCCTTTGGTTTTATTGAATGGAACACTCAGCTCTTAAATATTGGTATTGGATGGTATTTCAATCAAATCTAATTCACTAAATATGTTGGCAAGTTTGTTAGTTTATTTGAATTGACTCATCAACTAAATTTAATTCATTAACACAACGAGGGCAAAAAGGCATATGATAATGGTCTTAGAAGTTAATTTCTCTTCGAATTACAATTGGGACTTGTTGAGAAGTATAAAGGTTATAAAGACAAGGGTTGTGAGAGCTATGAAAAATAAAACAGAATAAAACATTTGTTAATTTAATTAAATTTATCGAACTTTGAATACATGAGAACAACTCCTAATAGTGTCAAAGAAACTGCTTCAAAAACCTCAACTCAGGATTACAAAAAATAATAATCATAACCTGTATGTGATTTAAAATATTATAAAGACTGTTAGCATACCAGAATCTAGTTAATTATTTCACATTCCTTAAAAATACTGTCATCAACGCTTTAAACCACAACCAACTACATCCAAATCTATTGAGGAAAAGAGATGCAAAGTCAATAAAACTAATCTATCTGAATTGAATAATCGTACAAATAGCAGTTCGAAAAGTCGTATTTCTGGTTTCACAAGCAATCAATTGGAAGATGATTCTTTGTATAATTCCTAGAATGCACTTAAATTAAAGAAAATAATAGGTGATTCCTAGGTTTATAACACTAACCTCTTTGTGTATTAATTTCATAATAATCCTTTTTAGTTCTAAATCCAATCTAACTTGTGATTCTTCCAGTCCAGGAGCCAGACAAAACAAATCAGCTTATAAAAAATCAGCAGATTTCGATATCACTCAATTGAACATGTTAAGAGAAAAGTCTTTGATGCAGAAAAAGGGTTAGTCATAATAGGTTGGTCAATAAAAAGAATTGATAGATTCATTTCTAAACCTAGACAAACAGATTTAAGGGGCCACATTGGAATAACAGAAGAAATAGCAATATTTAAAGTAAAGGGGATTATGGGATCCATTTAAAGATCTGTTTATTAAATAATTTGCCAGAACTCCTGTATAATTTAAGAGTGTCTTCAATTAGTTGTAAGTATAAGTGAGGGAAATAGAATAGTAATGGTCAGATATCATAATGTAAATTGCAAACAATTTATTTGAATTATTTTAAAATTCTGCAATTCTGATGGCTTATGAGTAGGATTTGAAGTTGAATGAAATGATCGAATAAATGAGAAGGGAAAGAGATATTTGGCAGAATAACTTTAAGTCTCTTGAATAAGAAAGAGATATTCTCTTGGAGACTGTTTCTCAATTAAAACAAACATTAGAAAAAGAGAGACCCTCCCCATTCAAATCAGATAGTAAATAAAAGGATTTTGATTCTGCAGACATTCCCTAGTTAAAAGAAATGATTAATATAATGCAATCAAAAATTTCAGAAATGTCTGAAAAAGAATCAAAATTAATTAAGTTAGTATTAGCCATTCGTAGATCAGGAATTGATATAGAGAAGATATATAATGAAGAAGTTTTAAATGAAGACTCTTTATCGGAGCAAAATAATCATTCAAATAGAGAAAAAAAGTAAATTATTTATTTATATATTAGATCTTTGATTACTAGAATTGAAAGAAGTTTTCACGATGCTGATAATTCAGTTGTTAATGATTCAGATGAATCAAGTTTTTAATATAATGGAAGACTCGATGATGAAAGCATTATTGAAAGTATTAGAAGGTTTGAAAACAGGAATTAAAATAGTGCTTATGCAACAGAAAGTAAGAGTTCGATAAAAATGAAGATAGATTTATCGAAATGTAATTAGTAATAGCAAAAATTGCAATAATTGTAATAGTTGTAATAGTAATAACAATAAAAAAAAATTTAACAGTAACTTTAATAATAAAATATGAACAAATTAAAAATTCCTGATTAGGAAGGGATAGGATTTCATTAAGAATTTATGTTGAAATTTAATGAGTTTTCTGAAAGCTGGAGAGTTTAGGTATTGAAGGATGAAAAGAGAACTAAATCTTGATTTTTTATATATTTAACTAAATTTTGATATATTAACATATATAAATTCAAAAATAAAGACAGAATTTGCTTTACTCAGATTGCTTCATAAAAGATTATGTATGCTCCTTTATCAGTTAAATGCCTACTTTTTTTGTCGATGGTAACAACATCGTCATCAAATTCATACCATTCATTTTATCTTTTAGTATAAGCCTTATAATGACCGCTATTTATTTGTCCTTAATGTGAGACTAGACCCTTTAGTTTATACTCAGGATTAACAACATTTTCAGTGCAAAACCTACAATTATAAAATAGAATTACTCCTTAATATTTAAGATTTCTGGATATGATATCTCATTTTAAATCTTTTGATTCCTTGGAACTTAAGCAAATCTTTTCAGATGAATAATAAGAAACTAGGGTTTGTGAGTAATTTGAAGTTATCTTAAGAGAAATTTGTTTTTATATTGGCAAAGATTGCATTACCAATCATTGAAAATTTGTTCCTCTCGAAAATAATTCTTCATACAATCGATTAATTTGATTTCTTATAATCCAGGAGTATTTTATATGGGTAAGTTAAGATCCAGGATAGGATCATAAACTTCACATGTTTTTTTACATTTGAGACAGTAATTTTTATTTGAAATTTGTCCAGCAAATAGCTCGGTTACAACATCTGGATTTCTCCCAATATAGGTGTCCCATGCCTCTGTTGCAGATACATTTTCTTACTTTTCAGAATTTTTCTTACCAATCAATTCCTCTTAAATTTGTGATAAAATAAATAATAGAAATTCATGTGAATCTTACTATTAAGTAGGTTTAAATTTCTATTGGCAAATAAATGACAGTAGATCCAAATTTATGGACTATCCAGGAATAGTTCCTTAAATTAATCTAATCAGATCTTAACAGGCTGAAGTAAATTGGTTATTTTATTATTTTTGGATCTTTAGAATTTTACGAATAAATTTGGGAATACTTAACAAACATTGTAGAGCAGCATTCATGTAGCAATTATACTTTGGATTATGAAAACCTATGATCGGCAATTCCGTTGGAACCTTTGAAAAAATTTTAATTTTTTTCGTTTATCCAGTTAGGTTCCAATCAAGGAGGTTACCTGATGCAGTTTTATCGATATCGTCAATGTTGTTGCTTGATAGTTTAAAATCAACAAGAGGGTCTCTTGATTGCCTTATTGGTAGAATTGTTGTAGCAGTTACATGAGTCGCCCCATCGTTTAGAAGTTCTAGCTAGGTTCCAATTTGAAGAGGTAGCATACCGTTAGGCTCATTGCCTGTCTTATCGATTGGCTGGACTTCTAAGCATTCTTTATCATTAACTCTATGTGATTCTTAAATTTCATTTTACGGAGACTCAAATTTTGCATTATCTAAATCTATAGTTATTGTGGGTCCACCCCCGTAAAGTAAATGTACAAACTTCCAAGCTCTTTCATTTATAAGTGAGTAATGCCTTTCTGGTTGAATTCCAGGAAGTAATTGTGGATCGTTGTCTATTGTAATATGTATCGTATCCTGTGTCCTGTGATCATCGGTCAATATTTTGTTATTGTTTATTTCCTTTGGTATAGCTTTCTTCATTCCTCCCAGAAATCCAGTATACTGAACAGCCCAACGATATTCAATAAAATAAACAATAGGCAGATCTTCTGCGAGTAAGCCATTCACAAACAATTTCTCTAAAACGACACTGCCTATATGTAAGAGAATACCTTTCTTTGACCTATCCTAATTCTCGATAGGCTTTAATTTGGTTTACAACGTTTAAAATTTCTTTATGACTATCTTCAGTTTGGTTAGCTTCATTTGAGTTCTGCTTTAAAATTTGATCCTGGTCTGGGTTTTAAGCCTTTTCATCTTAATGATTTTCTTTACTGAAAGATCTCACCTCTGAATCGTTAAGGGTAGCTTGTCTAAATAAAATTAATAAATGGGTATTGTACTTGGCTCTTTTATTCTTCGTTTTACAACAAATAAACATTAAATAATATTAATCAACTTATCTATAAATTTAAAGGTTTAAAAATTGAATGTTCAATCAAATATGCTGGATTTTTAGCTTTCCAAAAACATATTTTTATAAATTGCTAATGCTAATTACTAAAAAATTTGAAATTAAATGCGCTTCATCTTGCTTAAATTAATGAAGCTATAAATAATTTTAGTGAATATCAAATCTCCTTTCTATAACGAAGGCGAAATAACTGGAAGTATTAAAAAGAGTAAACACTATAATATCACTACCTATATATCCTTAATCTTAAAGGATATATCCCGCTGCTTTCTATAACGCTAATTTCCATTTGATAAAATCCTTTTTCTCGAGAGAAGATCCTTTAAAATGAAGATAAAGATGAAAATTTTATAATCAGAGCAGATAGCTATAAATTATACAATAAAAGGATACAATTCTAAAGTATTTCTTTATGGGCCATCAATATCTGGAAATAAATGTGCATCATTGGTGATATTAAATAAATCTTGACTTATTGCTATACATCTTACTAGATTTATTGAAGGCAAATAACTAATATCTCCTGGAAGAGATAAAGCAATGATCTTTATCTAAAGATTTCTTAAGGATGACGTTATAAGAATTGGGTCATCAGCTAAGGAAATAATTTGTTATAAGTTTTAAATCTGTCATAAATTACAAGTGGATATTATGATTTTGCAGTAATTAATCAAGAAGAATAGTAATTCATTTGGGTGTAAAATTATTATATTATAACTTAAAACAACCTTAGATTAAAAAATACATTAACGTGGCTTGAGAATGCTAGCATACATTAATTTTAGATAGGGTTGAAGCATAATTAGGACATAAATCATTCTTTAATATTGATGAACTCGAGGAAATATTGGATATAATGTTATAAATTTAGCAAGATCTCATTTTGTACTAATCACCAATTCTAATTTGCTTTATAATTAAGGATTGAATAAAATTAATAACAGAAAATTAGTATGAAGATAGTTGGGTAATAAGTTCAAATTTTATTGCTTATTTATGATTAGAAATTAAGACTATTGATATTTGTATTGATCACCATTCTTCCTAATAGTAATTTGGTTGCAAGAAAAATAATGGAAATTTAGGATATTTGATTTTTCTCAATTCCTGTGTTTCTTAGGAAGACTAAAATAAATAGAAGATCTATCACAGTTAACTCACTAAGTCTAGGGAAAGGAAACTGTGAGGAATAACTTCACTTAAATATATTTGGAGGCAGTGGTTTTAAATTATTTGGTAAATCAGGTTTTGGATATAAATATAGATTTTATGGGGTGTAATTAATAATTCAATGTATTTGCTTATAAAGCTTGATCATAGAAATGGATCTAAATATCATCAGAAAAAGCACAATCCCTTAGCATTATTATAAGTTTAACATTGATAGATTTATTATAATAAATCTTATAATATAGATAAAATATAATGAGTTGGAATATGAAATTAAACAAAATCTCAAAACAATGGAATTCAATAGAGACATCTTTATCATGTGGAGTAGAATGATTAATTTTATAATATTCAAAATCTCCTTTATAATGGTAAGTGATAATTATAAATTGTTGTTTTTCTTTCAGATTTAGATGATGTAAATATGTTTTTTAAATTAATGAGTTGATTTATCTATTAAATTAGGCTTCATTTGTCCTTTAAAAACCCAAGTTAAATTATGAAAAATTGGAGGAAAATAAATAATATAATTTTCAAAACGTTTATTATTGTAGCAATGAATTTCAATCACTCTTTGATGTAAAGAATACAATTAATACAAATTTATTCATTTTTTAATATATTCTAATTTCCATAATAAATGGTCAGTTATTGATATTCTAGTATTGTTCTCAACAAGAGTGTCCCAATCATGTCGTTTTTCATTAATGTAAGGAACCCAAATTTTGCCCTTAAGAGGTTCATTTGGGTTGTCTATTTCTATCCCTAGTACTTTATGCTTCCAAAATTATACCGTCTAGTTTTTAGATGTAGTAATGAAATCGATCGTCAGCTGGATCGTAGAGAGAGATAAAATTTCCATCGCATTTATCCGAGACCTTTTCACTGAAGCAGATTCCATTCATGACATTCATAATCAAATCGCTTTTCTATTTTTCATCAAAGTATTTAAATTGTTTTTCTGTCTTGTGGTCTGGATGCTGAATTCTAATCATAAACCCTTGTTTCATATCTTCTAACTGTGAATAGTGGAATTATTTACTTTTTTATTCCCATTTGAAGTTAGGCATCCCATTTAATTTAATATTATAAATTGAAATTATTTGTTTTAGATTGACTATTGAAGTAGAACCATTATCACTAAATTAATTAACTATTGGCCAAATCTTATCAGTATCAACTCATAACAGTCAGTACTAACAATTTAAAGAATCAAGTATAATTGAAATTTTACATAAATAATCTCATTTGAGAATAAGGCAAATGCATTCTCAAGTAACAGGATAAGGATTTAAATTAAGGAGGAAGCACTAGGTTTAAATAATCAGTTCTGATTAATTACATAGACTGAATTAGAATTATAAATGAAATAATAAATCCGAGATACATGTATGGATGGATTATAGAATATATTTAAGCAGAATCAATTAAATAAATGAGAATTTGATATTGAATTAAACAATAAGATATATTGATTAAAACTAAGAAATGAAACCTTACCTTTAACTTTAAAAAATAGAGAAATCAATCAAAGAAAGACAATTATTGGCTCATTAAGATAGTTCTATTAAAGATAGCGCAGCAAATCTACCATGGAAAGTACCAAGTCATTTCCACGTGAAATCTATTTTTGGATATCAATTAAATATCATTCTATAAATTCAATTGTTACTTCTAAGGAAATACGAATAGATTTATCTAAGTATTGTATTAAAATGCAAGTGAGATTATTTAGCGAATTAAACAATTGGATATATCGAATTGATAATAACCATTATTATTTTTTTATTTGATTAATAAAATGAAAGCTTTAATCTTTGGTGGTTCAGGAGCATTGGGTCGATCAATGGTAAAGGTATTTAAAGGGTGGAAAGTGACAAGTGTCGATTTCAACAAGAATGAGGAATGTGAGAATATTATTATTAAGAATGCGAGTGATATCAATTTTCTGAAATCTGAATTAAATACCCTTGGTATCTATCTGTATATAGATTGTTAGAGAAATTTAATTGCATAGTTTGTGTGGCTGGTGGATGGACAGGAGGCTCAATAAAAGATGAGAATGTTCTATAAGTTTATGAGGATATGAATCAGAAGAGTGTAGTACCAGCTCTAGTCTGCAGTCATTTGGCCACAACATAACTATCCAGATAGGGATTACTGATCTTTACAGGCGCTTATTCTGTATTTAATGCACCAACACCAAGCATGATAGGATATGCTTTGGCAAAGACAGCAGTTCATACTCTAGCAATCTAGACTGCTGTAAGCACTCATTTACCAGAAGATTCAGCTGTGATTACTCTTTTGCCGTATCATTTTATCATAATTATTAGAGAAACCATTGATACTCCTGCTAACAGATAAGCAATGCCAAAGGAAGATTTTACCAAATGGGCTAATCCTGATTAGGTTGCTGGATTAGTTAGATCATGGGCTGAAGGTCTGAATAGACCAAAGAATGGAGCATTCGTTCATTTAAGAGTAAAAAATGGTTCAATCGCACCTGATTTTCTTTGATCATTTTATAAATATAACATCAGAAAAAATCACTAATCTATTATAGATCTACTTTAAGTTCCTTTCTTAAATCCTTCTCTAATGTAACTTCAATAGTAAACACATCATAATCCTATTAAATATCATTTAATTATCAATACTTTCAAAATTGTGGATGATTTAAAATTTCATCCTTTTGTAATCATTTCAAGATGACGATGTTTGTTCTCAACAAGAACTGTGACTTAATGTGAAATGATAACAATTCACATAGAGAAGCTTTGAATTTTATTTTGTTAAACTATGTAAATGGTTTTAAGTGACAATAATATTATTAAAATAATCATTTCAATTAACTAGATTGATATAAAATTAATATTAATAATGACTTTCACCAAGGCAGTTTGGAGATCATGAATCTATCCATTACTCTCTTCTTTTATTCATCAATAGTTTATGTTGGGACCTTCTTTTCTTTTAATTGTTTAAGTTTTTCTTCTCTTTCTGATCTTTTGCTCATAAATTACATAAACTTTTCAACTTTTACTTTATTTGATTCATGTTTTGGCTACACTTTCTTTACATACTCTTATAATTCTGTGTAAGGCTACAACATAAACATAATATTTACATATTCAACACCAAGTTCAATGGATTAGATTATCATGTCAAATAAGTTAGATAAAACGTTGCTCTGTTTTCTATTTTAGAATTCCTATTGAATAATCTTTAAAGCAATGTTTTCTAAGGAAATATCTGCCAAAACCTATTTAATTATTTATTAATAATTTGGTTAGAAGTATTCAATTGCTACTCCGATATGCAGCTCAAGATCTTATTATACAACAAGACTTCTGATCAGGTACTTTAAGACTAGTTTTAGGAATTGCAATTGGTCTTAGTTTATGATCTTGATTATACTATGCATAGTCAATAATATCGCAATGAATTATTATTAACTAGCTTTTTCAATAGTTTCGAAAAATACTTAAAGGAGAAGATAGAAGTTAGAGTTAATTAACTTGGAAGTATCTGCTTCATTGTCCTAACTTGTGTAGATTTTGATTAAGGAGTTGGTGAGAATTGTGAATATATTCCCGATTTTATTTTCGTAATCATCAAACTATTTATAGGCTTCGGTTAGAATTGGTAAATTGGTTAGCATCTCTAATCCTGGTTACTAATTCTTCTAAAGCAAGGTTTCCAAGATTTTCATGCAACTCAATGTGATTTTAGCTGAATGTTTGTCTCTTGATTCTTGGAAGAGATCCTCTTTTACTTTGTGGAAGTTGGCTTTG